TTGCTACTTGCCGTGACCGTTATGGTTACGAATAAAAAGGTTATGAATAAAAGGCCACTTCAGCTAAATTACAATTTCATTAGAGATGTTTAAAGATTCTACGAACGAAATTAGTTGTTTGAACAAAAAAGTTGTTGTAAACATGAACGAAATTATTCATAACAAATTATTCACAAAAACTACTAAAAATATATTTATATTTTGAAATAGAATTAAAAACATTACTGATTAGGGTTGATGAATTTATTCCGTTGCCGTAAATAATAAAAAAAGTAGAAGCACAGAGTCAAAATTAAAAAATTCGAAAATAACGTACTTTAATAAATACAGACCAAACATATAACAGAATTTGATTTTAAATGTGGCTCTCATATTCAGGCACAGAGGCTATAATTTCTTTAAAAAGTTTCAAGACAAATTACGCCCGGTAAAGTAAACCAATTTCGTTTTGTTGAAGAATCCGCCTTCTTTGTCTTTAATAAATTGTATTACTCTTCATCTGCGCAGCTCTCGTTTATTATATACGACACTTATCAAAACAAATTCTCTGTACATTAAGGAAGTTTGAAAAAATGAGTTTTAGTCCGTTTTCCATATAAAGAGATTAACGAATTATTGGGGTAATAATTTAGAAGCAACCATCCGGTTGCTATATATATACTACCATTATATTTATGAATGTACAATAAATTGATCCCGAAGAGTCTGCCACGGTGTTGCAGCACGTCGATCATGTTTGCAGACATCAAACGGAGGGATGATTTTCATGCAATAATCCGCAAAAAAAATCATCTCAAATGCTTTGCCCACGGTACAGAGACAATAACGTTCTGAATATGATTGTCTCTGTCTTCAATTGTTTAGCAGCAGTAGACCTCTTTGTAAAGAAGTTATTTCGGGGAAGTTCTGTCATTATATCTATTTCTACCGCCAAGCGATAATGTTATTTCTTCTTGTTATTAGTGCGTTCCGGTTTTGAAGGTTAGAGCGATGCCACACGATGCGTTGCATCGGCGTTGCGACATCTAAGCGATGACGCTACGTTGTACATATTACATATAAATCTGTGCCTCTACCACGAGTTTACTGTGACAGTTGTCGCTAGCGATCGCGTAAATGACTTCACAATTTTGTACGGTAAATTATACAGCCCTAGCGGTCACAAGAAGAAATAACATTTTGTATATAAATATTTTAAGCAATCGCTAGCGATAATTGTCAATGTAATCTCATGGTAGAGGCGCAGAACGACATGCCACACGGTTTCGGCATATAGGACAATGGGCCAGGAGACGAAGAGGGTAGGATATGAATAGAATAGAATAGAATCGTTTATTTCATGTTATCAATGTCACAATATTACAATTGGAAATACAATGTCAAGGGATAACTATGATCGTCAGTAATAAAATTATAATAATAATAATGAATATAAAATAAAGTAGTATAACTACTGCTTGTCGAATAAAATAAAATTAAAATTGTTTCAAAAGAAACTCATCGACACCGTATAGCAAATGTGGCATTCGGTGCGTTGAAATCATGATGTTGCACCGACGCAACGCACCGGCAGCGCCTGTGTGACATTGCTTTAAGGGTGCTGGTGAAACTACAGACCATGGGACTTGAAACTTTATATTTTTTATTGAGCAGTTAGGTTTTCGCGATTGTTACACATAGGAAATGAAACAATTTTTCCGGATTTAAATCGCGTACATTTGTTTTTTCAAACAAAAACCTTAACATCTCCTATGGTCACGGCAGATTGTAAAAGTATCCACGGCTTACACAGATAGCATTAGAAATACATTCCCTGACAATCGATGCACCATCCTGAAATTTCAGCTTCATCAAACAATGTTCTCACTAATCACTTACAGCTTAAGCCGTGTAGACTGGACTTAATTGGCAATAACCTTTCTTGAACCCGTCGAGTCGTCTGGCTGATGGGCTGATCATTCCTCAGTCTTATCTCCCGCCGACACAGGCAGGGGCCGTCGAATAAATTTCGATGATCGATTGACTACGTTTGAACGACAGAGTACTTTGTCAGCAATATTGATTTTAGCTATCTGAAACAATTAGGGAGTGGATCTCAATTTTGTCTACGATTGGTCAAATTTAGATGGAATACTCAGTTTCTGGAGCTGAAAATCCTTAGTGGAAGAGTTTGTCCAGGGAAATATTGCCACCTTACCTATTTCTGCCGCCAAGCAGTAATGTCAGCATTACTGTGTTCCGGTTTTGAAGGGTAATAAGGGTGCTGGTGAAATTACAGGCACATAGGACTTGTCAAGGTGATGTACTCTTCTAATGGTCGTGAACAGTATTTTAATATTAAATTTGGAGTCAGTCTGTATATTGTAACTTGTTCTTATTTGTACTATACGTATGCCTTAGCAATGGTACTATCGGAAATAGAGACTATAAGATATACGTTGAAGTGCCAAACACCTATCGGTTCATAATTCAAGTAAAATACATTGCCAACAATAGTTTCAACTAAAACTAGCGCTGAAGACATTTATTTCACCTGGAATTAGCTTTATTTAGGCTGCAATCGTTATGTTAATCCGAGCAGGTTAAATGATGCAAATTTCAGCATTAGACCGTATTTACTTATAAATCCATTTGATTTGCCGGATTATCGTATTAAATGTTATGAATAGGCCCTATAATCGAATCTATAAAGTGGTCTTCATTTTTTTTTGGGTAGGGTACGGTTTCACCTTACGGCCTCTTCTTAAAAATTCCATCCTTTCTTGTATCTGCTCATGATGATATTCATACCTACACTTCTTTTTTGTAAAACATTAAATAGAAGACATTTTGGTATTTATTTCATTCAGTCATTTTGTAAGCAAAGCAATTTATTATATACTGTGAAACAAAATTCTCAAATATATTAACTACCTTGATGTGTTATGTTTTTTTACTTTCTGCACTTACTATTATTTATAAATGAAATGAGAAATTTATAATACCTTTTCTTTTCATGCTAAGTGATGGGACGAACAAGTCGTACGTCTGATGGTAAATGACACGCCTGTCCATAACAGTTGCTGTGCCACTCAGAGCTTTAAATCGCAAAGATCTGAGGAGACATAAGTTGAAAAGTCCCATGTGCCTGTAAATTCACCAGCACCCTAACTCTTCAAAACTGGAACGCAAAATACTCACATTATACTGCTTGGCGGCAGAAATAGGTAAGGTGGTTGGAGTTCCCTGGATAAACTCTTTCACTGCTCTACTTTAATATCTTTACATACTTGATATATTTCGAATACTTGTACTATAAAAAACTTAAAGAAAGAAACAGATCTTAAACGGAATTGTTTTATAAAATGATAATTTGTTCGACGATGTTTAGTTGAGACTAAACGGTCTCTACTTTTTTATTTGAGCACGTTTTTTTTTTCTAATCCTAAAAAAATGAAGTTTAAATAGTACTTATTTTGTCTAGAATAAGTAAGTTGTAAAAAAGTAGAATAAGTAAATTGAAATTAAACTAATAATGATGATTTTTATTGTAGACCTTATGGTTCGTGTTTTAGTAGTCATATGCCGACAAAGTCCGAAAGAGAACACAGACGGACGATAAACAGCAATATGCTGAGACTTTGTCCATTTCGTCCAGATATTAGTATAACAAATCGTAGCTCGTAGTTCATAAGTGTATCATATATATTTCCTGTACATATTTGTGTGATGAATAATTTCCTGTTCATTTATTTTCTTTATTATCTCAAGACCGCGTCATAGTTGCGCCACTGCAGTGCTTCTAGAAGCGTCGAATTCGAGGGCGCCCATGATGTGATTAGAAACATTTTGTGTTAGGCTTAGAATAATAACGCATAGAAACCTAGTCCGCACACGCTAAGTGAGGCAAATTGAAGCGCGCCCAAAGGGCCTACACGAGCGGGCAGGCCTTCAGTGCTCAAGGCCAACTGGCACCGCGCACAGATCAAGAATTTTAGCTAAAAATGACGAAATGTGCGGTAAATGAGTGTAAAAATACGTCAGACAAATATAAAATAGATACTAATATCACATTCCACAAGGAAGTAACGCGTTTTAACTTGTATTTTTATATAAATATTCACTAAAACCGAAAATTAACCTACTACTAAAACTAGCCTACATGAATATGATTTTTGCCTCACTTGTGACAGTTCGTTTGATATGAAACTATCATTCTATGCGTTATTATTCTAAGGTGTTAGGTATGTTTTATATGGCAAATAAAAAATGTAAACGTATTGATATGGAATATTACTTATGACACTGTATTTTTTCAAGATTTGGCAAATTTATTATTATTATTTTTCGGTAACCTATCACCAAGTCGAAAGATTTCTGGAAAATGTCATTTCGGACCACTGATAGATAACCTTATTTTTCACCGACTTAAAAAAAGAGGAGATTCGACTGTATTTTTTGGGGTGTTACGCGACTACTCCGGTATTTCTGAACCGATTTTGAGTTTTGATGACTGTTTTTGTTGGTAAGAGGTTACTTCAGTAGTAGTCCCACTTAAATTTGAAGAAAATATTCCACATGACTATTTGAGATAGGTTTCTTTAAATAAAAAGTTATAATTATTATCTTTTTATTTCATTTGCTCGTTTGCCTCTTTACATGAAAAAATCTGCCATTTTATTTTTTCATTTCATGTTTTATCTTAATACCGTATCTGTGTGGTTTTAATTCAATTTGAATGATTTCGCCGGTGATGTCCCTTTCCTGCAGCTAACTACGCGTTGCCTGTAGAGCAGCGAGTCTCGATTTATGTATGTCGTAGCAATAACAAAAAAGTTTTGTAATCGATATCCGCCATGTTTTTTTTTCTATTGAGACAGTTCACTATCGCACTAAAATCGCCTCTGTCGTAAGATCGGACATAACACTTTGTTTCAAGATGAAAAATCATGGAAAGATATGACGATAGTCTATTTGAGACACGCCAACATTTTTCACGAACACTCTTCTCTTTTTTTCAGATTGACGCTTGCTACTTGACGCGTGCTAAGGTAAGATAATAATTTTTCGAAGAAAATTAAGACGCGTTTAATATTAATTTTAGGTTCAAATTTTGGGTATAATATGTACTATTATCAGAGCGGAACGAAGACGGATAGAATTACAGACTGAAATCAGATTAAAATATATTGGCATGTGCCATCGAGTATATAACTAGAAATAGACACGAAATGTCATTTAATTTGTTTGAAAACCATTATGCCAAATTATTATGGTGACGATTGCGCTCCGATTGGCCAGCCCGAATTCAAAACAATTGACGGGTGTCGTCAATTGTTTCACTTCAAATGGATCTAACTTAGCTTTGCTATATAATGGACGAAAATTGAAAAATTACGTATTTAATATTTAATTACCGATGAAATTTGATTCCGTTTGTTTTGTAATTAGATGTTTTGCTGTTTTTCCCATACCACCGAATGGAACAGCCCGCCATTATTAGAGATATTATCTTTATTACAATAAATACAGAATATTTTCGGAATATATTTATTAGCTAATATATATATTAGCTTACACACAGGTCAGTTGTTGGCGCTGTACTATTTCAGCTTTCTAATGTGTGATGTCATACTTAAAAGTGATATAATTTACTTGATGAGTTGCCAATGATGGATTTTTATTTCGTCTCTACTTCTGGTTTTATACTCGATGTCATGTGCAATACCATACTATCAAATCTAACAGTATCCTGGCCTATAAAATATATAAATACATACTTAAGTTACTCCAACAAAGATAGTTAAGTAGAATTATGGATGATCTGCAACGAACGATGCGGTTGGCATTATGTTAACCCGTGTTTAAATAGAATATTAAAAAAACTGAATAAACATACTTAGTTGGGTAAAGATTAACAAAAGTTTTGGGGCACAAATATTATTGCTCCAAAATTCTGTTGGGTGAGCGTAGCCATTGACATTGACACAACTTAAATGCTAAATAGTATATATACAATTGACACCTTCTCCTATCGGACGCTCCAGAAAATAAAATGGTTAAAATTGAGCTTCACTACACACGCACGGAGGCACGCACGCACGCACGCGTAGTCTCTGTCACACTTATTTTTTTCAACCTCATGTATTCACAACAATATTAATATTAATATATATACAGGGTGTAAATTTGAGACGGGGCAGCAAGGCCAGCTACCTTAATCGTTGCAGCTACAAGAAAACGATTCTAGAAGACTATCTATGAATTTTTAAGATATTTAGATTGGTATTCACAGATTTTGAAAAAATGGTACAGTCAGCAAGATAAAAGGCAATTTTTTATGCCGTTCGATTTAGTCTCTGGTAAGGATCAATAGTCTCTATGGGACCAACTGAGGTAAGAGTACTCTAAATGTCAGAAATCGCAAAAAACTTTTTACCATACACTTTGTAGGGACCTATTTAGTAATCAGTTATTCTGGAAACTAACAATAAGGAAACTAACAAGTTGACAACGTATTATGTATTTCAAAATAAAAATAATAACGAAAAGCAAAATAACATGAAAAGTCTATGATAGTAAGTGCCCGAATTCATTGCCGCCTTGGCGGATGCATCGATTCGCTTTTTTCCGCAAAGAGCAAGTAGCGGCTGAAATTCTACTCAGATGGATTCTATTGAAAATTGCTGCAAGTGCGTTTTTCAATTATTGAACACTGTTGTATTTTTTTATAAATTTAATTTTTTACATAGCCCCAAAGAAAAAATCAAGGGGCGTCAGATCAGGACTGCGCGGTGGCCATTTGATAGGACCATGCGTTCCAATTAATTTGTTTCCACACTTGAGACCATTTTGATTAAAAATCGTCTTAAAAGTGACAATTCTCTATTAACAAAACAAAACAGAGCTGTTCCAAATTTAAAAAATAGTGATATGATTATAATTTGGTTTTACTTAAGTCTTATTTGCAGAGTAGTGGCCAGTTTCGTTTCTAACAAAAAAATTTCATTTAAAATGTGTGGTAAAATATTTTTTGCGATTTCTGCCATTTCGAGTACTCTTACCACAGTTGGTCCCGTAGAGACTATTGATCATTACCAGAGACCGGATCGAATGGCATAAAAAAAGTTTTGTAAAAATTGCCTTTTATCTTGCTAGTCAGCAAGATAAAAGCAATATAAAATTTAAAACCATCTTTTCAAAATCTGTGAATGCCAATCAAAATATCTTCAAAATTCATAGATAGTCTTCTAGGACCGTTTTCCTGTAACTACAACGATCAAGGTAGCTGGCCTTGCTGCCCCGTCTCAAATTTACACCCTGTATGCAGGTTGAAAAAAAATATTAGATTATTAAATATTAGAGTTGGTATAGCGTCTGGCATCCGCGAATCCAGACGGATCGAAGGAATTTTTTTTGTGTTTAATCTTTGTATTATGTAATGTTTTCATTTAAGATTTCTTGTCTCTGAAGGTGAGGTGAGGGTGGTCCCAATCCCAAACAAAAAGTCTGCTAATTTTTTTGACACCATTGGTCATTTTGGTATTCTACCGATACTCCACTGAGACTATATGTCGATTATATCGATCGCTAAAATCTAGTTGTAATGGCAATTGAGACTCAATCTTGTAGTGTCAGTGGAATTCATTACCATGTCTTCCTTCGCTGAAAAGCTCAAGGTTAATTACAAATTAAATATCCCAACTCAGAGGTGCGATCCTCGATTCCTAACCTACGGCCTCTATTTGAGAGGCGCTGGGCAAACTATTAAGCTACCATGGCTTGAAAATTCCTTTTTTTTATAATATGAAGTGACGGGAGGAACAATTCGTGCGCCTGATGGTAACCTACACGCCTGTCCACAGTTGCAATGTCATTCAAAGATTTTAATCGCAAAGATCTGAGGGGCGATGTCACCCTGACACAAAAGTGACATGTGTCTGTAATTTCACCAGCACGCTTCCAAAGCGGAACACAATAATGACATTACAGAAATAGGTAAACTGTCAGCAGTTCATTAAATTGAAGTCTTTCACAAACAGGTTTACTGCTACCAAATTGTCCCTATTTCTATCCCAACATCAATCGTATTTCACATCTGTTATATCATTGATATGCTCTACAATAGTTACACCCAGAGGACATATTATCCTCGATAGCACAATGAGTGGCAGCAAAATGTAAATTCGAACCCCCGGAGCGATGGCACACGCCCGCCTAATTAAGTCAAACATTTGACGTGTGTGTCAGGCTTTATGTGTAGAAATGCCATTATCATTGTTGTACGGACTATTTGTACAATTGTAGGACAGGACTTCTCTGGTCAGAGGTTTAGTCAAAATCAAATAATCTTCACTTCATAGGTAAGCGATTACACTTGAAATCATTATATTAATTAAACTCTACTGTTCATTCGTAAGACAGATTCCCCAGAGAAGAATGATAGAAACTCTAGGGTTTTATAAAATGCGCTAAACTCCACAGCTATCTATGAAGTCAATACAAACATTAAATAGAATTGAAGCGTAACAAATATTCTATTATTAATACCAGATCGTTACACATCATGAATGCTAATGGATATTTGTGACGCCCAATTTACATTTAATTAAATTGCCGGATTATTATCTATTGGATGTGACACGGGTTTGGGTCTACAAACCTATTGTAGGAGTCGTTTAAGATATTCAGACCACTTTAAATTGACTTATTGATACTAGAGAACGGTTCGTGAAGCGTGATCAAGTTACTTTGGTTATATCTCCCACATTACCTTACAGGACGTGCTACGGCAAACCAAGCCTATTACCGTCGCATTCAACTGCGGCAATAAATTAACAAGCCCTCTAATTCGGTGACGTAAGTTTCTCTATTGCCGGCTTATGGTATGTAATTGATTGTATGCAAACGATGGTTAGAATGTCACACGAAAGAGTGGTGGGGGCCTAGTGGTAGGGCTTGCTTATCAATCGAGACCATCGGTTCGCATCCACCAGTGATTTTTCATATTGGGTACATTTGTGAACGTTTATATAGAAGCAGGAAATAATGAATATTGATAAATGAAGATTATTCGAAAATTTTTGCAGGAGATCATTTGGGTGGTGGTATTGTAGATGTCGTATATACGAGGGGCGGCTGAAAAGTAATCTACCAAAGTTTGAAATCAAAGATGACATTGGCTACCATTTTCTGTATGAAATGTACATAGAAACTGGAAATGCGTTTGTTATATTTGTTACAATGTGACAACGTTAAAAAAAGTTATTGCTCACTTGTCATTTTGCTTTTTTTTCCGTCAAATTTGTCCATTTTAAGCGAAACGTAGTAAAAAAGTCATTAATTTTGAAAATGGAATAAATAATGAATGCCTCCCGATAGTGGCGAGTATTATTTTTTAATTGAAAATAGTCAAAGGGATTTCAGCCGTCTCTCGTACACACATAATGTCCATAGCAGGGTGGAGGTGGCTAGTGCAGTGAGGGTTTCATCGCTGCACTAGGTTCCTTCGCGTTTGGATACCACTTTCCACTTAACATCAGGTGGAGTGGAGTCATTTGCCTGTCACGTATAAAAAAAAAAAAAAAAAAAAAATATATGAAATTGCATTACGTACGTTTTCGTCGTTTCTGGCAAGAGAGATACCGGGGCTTTAACGTCAAATTTGCCCATGGTGTGTTGTTTTCCTTTTGCCTTACCGAAAGACAAAGGTCTTCGACCACGCAGCCTAGTCTTTTCTATTCCATGTCTAATCTTTTTTGTCCATATTGTATCTTTATCAATTATTTTTTTTGTGTACAGTGATACTATACTCAATATTACTAATTACAAGTTTCTTACTAAGATTTTTTTTTTCATTTTCATCAAAAGTTCCGAAAATCGCGAAAAAATTTTGCGGTTCTGAATTTCCTGATCAGATACTATAATAAATAAATAAATAAATAAATAAATACCATGTAATTGATATGGTTGCCTGGAAAATCATTATTATAAATTATGAATGATGTAAGTCGTATTATGTCGTAATAAAACAGGTTACAATTTCACGAAA